ACTATTGTGTTTCTTACCTCAATTTGTGAAGCAAGAAATTGCCATCCGCAGCAGCAATTCAGCAGCAAAATGGTCCTAGTGATTGCAAGTCGGAAAGTGGACCACTCCTTTAGACTCTAAAAACTACTGTACATATCTAGTTAACCTATAGACCATTCCCATAGACATGTAATATATATATATACACAGCCTTGAAGTACAGTTGCTTTCATATTTGGAGCTTTTCTGGTACCCCATTTGCTCAGCGCCTTCATGACATCCGCCTGAGAGCCGAAATGGGCGTTTAAGGCTGGACGTGCGTTTCAGGAACGTTTACAACAAGATGGAAATGGGGAGATTATAGCATGTATGTATATATATATAATATGAATAATATAGTGTGTAAAAAAAACATGTAATATGTTTGCATGTCTTTTTATTTTTCTACAGGGGTATTACATGGTATTACTATATCAGGTAATATAAGGGTTGGGTAGATCTCGCATATGGGGGTATGAAAGACTGGTGATTTACCCAACACATCAGTTTGTGGTCCAGACAGTATACCCAAAAACAATCTCTCTACTTGAAAAAAGGATGATGTACCCTCTGGTAAACTAACATAGCTATTGAAAATGGCCATTTATAGTGAGTTTTCCCATTAAAAATGGTGATTTTCCATAGTTATGTAAACGTTTACCAGAGGGTAACCACGCTGCATTTTGGGGTACCAAATTTTTGGACAAGAAAGATGGGCTGAATCAATAAGAATTCGAATCTCTAAAGTGATGTGTTTTTTGGGCATGTCAACCATGAGAAAGCATCCGTCTTTTTCGCTGAGTCAACCATGAGTCCTATTTGTGGTCCCCCTTTATGATAAGATCAGTTATATATAAGTATCCAGTGGTTAGGAGGGAGCGATTTGGAACTAGGGGTATTCAAATTCCGTACTAAATGCGGAGCCAAGGAGCTACCAAGAGTTTCCTAAGCACATGATAGATAACAACCATTTATATCCCATAAAAAAATCACTATAGATTCCCAAAATGCTGGATTTTCCATTGGGAAAATCCGCCAAATTACCGACTAACCCAGGTATAACAAACTCCAATCATATATCCAACAGTTGCAGCATTTTAAACTCCAAGATATATCCAATAATAGTTGTATTATCATATATCATGGCCAATCTTAGATACCCTGCAAAGAAATCAATTCTTAGTTGGCTAGTAGATAATCCCATTGATACCAAAAGACTAAAGGATTAGTTTCTACCCATCCAAGATTGATCTAGAATATCACCAATTTATGTATGCAATATTTACCTACAAAAGGGTCACTTTTTGGGGCTATATATATATATATGTATATATTATGATATATATATATATATATAGCAAATATACCAGCACCATTGAGCATTGGGGATATATTATATGTATTATCCACCACCAATACATGGATTTTTATGGATGATTTACCAAAAAAATCTAGTTGGCTTTTAGTTGGTTTTGTTGAACTGACAAAACTAGAAATCATGGTTGTGATAACTATAGGCATTATTATCTGGTTGGTGGTATACCTACCCCTCTGAAAAATATAAAAGTCAGTTGGGATGATGGCATTCCCAATATATGGGAAAAATAAAAATCATGTTCCAAACCACCAACCAGACTATAGGAATTATTATCCACTACTATCCCACTCCACTACTTCCAGATACTGCCGATTCGTCGCCGAGGCGCTGCTGATCTGATGAATCTTTCGTAGGTCCATGGCCCTCGCCGCTCCACGCAGCTTCGCCACGCCACGCACCAACCTCCGGGCGGTCCGATGGGAAAATCAAGGGTTAGCATCTAAACCAACATGGAAAATCAATGGAAATCCATGGAAATCCATGGAAAATCCATGGAAAATCCATGGAAAATCCATGGAAAATCCATGGAAAATACATGGAAAATACATGGAAAATACATGGAAATCCATGGAAAATCCATGGAAAATCCATGGAAATCCATGGAAAATCCATGGAAAATCCATGGAAAATCCATGGAAAATCCATGGAAAATACATGGAAATCCATGGAAATCCATGGAAAATCCATGGAAATCCATGGAAAATTCATGGAAATCCATGGAAAATCCATGGAAAAATTCTTGGAAATCTCTACATTTGTAGATGATCTTCCCAGCAATAAACCTCCATGTAGAGGGTATTTTCCATCACGGTTGATTACTGAAGGGTACTTGGAGGATCATCCAACTTAGTAAGTGCATGGTTCATAAGCCTGGATGTAACTGGTTAAGATGTGGAAAATGGTGGATGAACATGGGGGTTTTAAACCTAAACAACATGTCTTTATACAACATTATAGTAGGATATATATATATATCATATGACATTCCAATGTCATTATATGACATTATATGTAGCACCCCAAAAATAGATTATAATAGATTGAACAGTTGGTAACCTTGGCCACCCTGATGCAACCATGGTGACTCGGGAATCCCCCAGTTTAGGAACCCCTCATATAGGAAAATGGATGCACGTAAGTTGACATGTCGATTCAAATCATGATCCCATGTTTAGGGATGGATCACAAATATCTGCACATAAAGTCTATGACTAATCTCAAACCAAAGTTCAGGCCATATTTTGGTGATAAATCATGATACATCAGAAATCATCCCCTTACCTCTTATACAATTCTACTCAGTTCTATTGAGGATGGCCAGTAACTTCTCTCAAGTGAACCTTCTGTGTTGGTTTCGACGTTCAAAGAAAGAACAATCGTCACTATCCCAGGTGCGGCGCCACACGGTGTTTGAAATCAACAACCAGCCATCAACTTAGAATCACTGGGTTTAAGGCAAATTTTATATACAGGAAAGCCCCATATTTAATGGGAAACTCATGGAACATCTATGGTTTCCTGTAGATGTTCCCTTAAACCAATCCATTGATACAATGATAAAACATGGTTTCCTTCAGATTTTCAACCCAATCGATTCAGTCAAACCTGATGACATCCCTTTTTCACATCACAAAGAAGTGCAGGAAGGTTGGTGAAACCCTGAAAACATTGTCGAGAATAGTGAAGTGTTTGAGGGTTGAAAGCCTGTGCTATATGGGCGGAGTTTCTCTATAGTACTGTAGGATTGTTTAAAACTACGGTACCCCTAACTCCCATTTTTTTTTTGGTGGATACAGTAAATCCCCCCCATTTTCGGACCCTCCGAGTGCCTAGACCCTCCGAGTACTGCAACAAAAATGGTAAACGTAATGAATTCTTGTGGGGATAACACCACATTTTTTTGGGTACAAACGGATGGTCTGGGTGGTTGGTTGGATTCCATGGTATCAAACATCCGATCCATCGATGTTTACATTGAACACCCATGAATTACACTCATCAAATACACCCACTAAATACCATGAAATACACCTATTAAATACGATCAAAACATCATGAATCATCAAGAGCTTTTCCATGTTCCTTCAATCCGCATAAACCCCATATTCAGACACGCCAAAAAAATATGTTTTCAGCTGTGAAACTCCTCTGCACTGAGGCGTCCGTCCTGACAAAACGGAGGATCTGATTGGGAAAAATGCGTTTTTTTTTGCTGGCAAAACGATGGTCTAGCAATAACACATGATGGTTTCACCCATGTTTTAATGGTGGTTTCATGGTGGTTCTCTATTGGGCAACTAACCAATTCATGGGAACTATATAAGCAGGCTAGAACTTATCACTAAACAACAACAGTTGAGTCCCAGTCTTGGACACCGGCTCACAGAGTTTGATGGAATGTCTGATGAGATATCTTTTGGGAATAACCGTGGATCATCAACAGTATATGATATTTGGCTGTGTCTGAAATTTGGATAATGCTTCCAGAATAGCAAATTCAATGGTGAAAATGCTGAACCACATATTGGGGGGGCACCCGTTTGGTAGTAGTGAAACACTACATGTGGGACATGTTTTTTAGCTTTATGTTGGTCAAGTATGTCAACGTATCATTTGGGAATGTTTTGAAACAATGACTGAACCAAACGTGGACGTGCCCTCTGGTAATTTAACATAGCCTTTGGAAAATCACCATATGAATATATTTACCCTCTGGTAAACTAACATAGCTATGGAAAATTACCATGTCTAATAGGTAGATCATCTATAAATGGTCATGTTCAATAGTTATGTTATATAAATTACCAGAGGGTATCCCAGACTCATTTGCAACAGAAATCAAATTATCTGTACTACACTCACCACACAAGAAAAAACAGCATTTCCTGATCCTTGCCTCTGTCCATAGTCAACCCCAAACGGATTGGATTCACAGTGATTCACATATTCAAGAATTGATTAAACACATGATACAAAATATAGTTTGATTATTATTTGTTCTATGAAATACAGTAGTTCCTGATATTTTACTCAAGCAGTCGATTCATAGTCGTTGCTTTGCCATCGATTCTGCGGACCAATCGTTCCGTTCATCCCATGTCAATCTCCTCCCGTCTGGTTGGTGGAAAAAATTAACCATCTTGAAAAATGATGGACTTCGTCAATTTTGGAAGCATGATCCAATTATGGAAAATAAAATTCATGTTTGAAACCACCAACCAGGAATTTAACTAAACTATGTTCAATTGTTGTTTTTCCTGCATTAAATAATCAATTTTCCCTGGTTCCATCATGTCTAAAGCCCATTGACAATAGATTGATATCTCCAAAAAATACTAACATTTGAGTTGTTCGTCAACTGTTGCTAATAAGAATCAACATATAAATTCAATCATATACAGTAAATATGCATTTTTCTCGATCAATTCCTCATTTTGCTGGTTGAATCACCATATCCATTTGAAAGTGAACCCCCCAGTAAATAGTCCAATCTCTCCATCGGTTAAATCCTCAAACCCTTCTTCCTTAAACCATGATATCTCCATGTTATCACCATTTTCCGAGTGAAATCCCCCATGGTTTCCCATGGTTTCCCATGGTTTCCCTAAGGATTCCTCCCTTTTTTCAACGGACAACACCTGGAAGAGTCCCCGGCCTGGCCGTCGTCCAACATCTGGAAGAGTTCCTCGACGTCGCTGACGTCCAGATCCATGGCGGCCAACCAGATCTTCACCTCGTAGTCTTTCAAGATGCTTTTGAACTCCTGGCATGGTGCTGTCGAATTGCGCTTGCTCTGGAATATTTTCAACTTGAAAAAATGCAGAAACAATGAAAAAAAATGGGATTGAAAAATGCAACTCAGAGAAAGGCAAACATGACAAATGCAAAAAAAAATGCAAATTGAAAAATACAAATGCCAGGACCTGGCACAGTCAAACATTATGATCTATGTATGGAATGGGATACTTACCTACATTATCCCATAAAAGTATGGAATGGGATGTTTTTTCCATACTATATAAGTATGGAATACTTATCTTGATGATCTATCCCATTATGGAAAATTATGATCTATATCCCAAATGCCCCATGGTGCTGGAATACTTACCTACAAAACTGGGTCACTTAGGAGGTAAATGTTGGCAAATATACCAGCTCCATGGAGCATTGGGGTATGATATATGATATATATATATATATGTATATATATATGTATATATATATATATGTATATATATATGTATACATATATATATATATGTATAGTAGTAGGTATAGTAAGCAGATATATAGGGGATTACCTGGGATTTAACTTTCAAGATGCTTTTGAACTCCTGGCGCCTGAACTCATGAGTTCAAGCAACCAGATTTGTAGAAATACTGGGAATTTCTAGGACAATTATGAGATGTAACCAACCAAAAACTATCCTTTTGAACTCCTGGTCGACACTTTGATATGTGGGAAGTTCAAGTAAGAAATATAGTAATATATATATATATTACAACATATTTGGTAGTATAATATAAGAATTGACAACATAGTATGGTACTAATTGCAAATATCATCTGATTCTACATAGTATACTACTATCATGGTGTAATTATGGTAGTATATATCAATGATGATAGCAATTGTAAGCAACAACATGTTTTTGAACTTCTCACCACTGGCCAGTGGGAAGATTATGGGATATAACCAGCTCCATAAAATCATGGGATATAGCCTACACTAACATAGATTTGGAAAACTCATGGTTTCCCCGGGAAAACGATCTATAACAGCCAATAACAATAACTGTAACCAACAAGATGCGTTTGATTGTTTATTTCAGGGCACCAATTTAGTACCAAATTGAGCCAAAAAATGGGGTAACGCCCCGCTCCGACTTATCAACCACGGTCAAAAACAATATGAGCTTGACATTCCTCTTGCCCATTATTAACCCTACTGTTTGATCCTAGGATTGACCATATCAACCCCATATTAACCCTAGGTCAGACCATTCATCTGGTAGGATGAATATATTGTCCCTGTCTATTCATTCGCATTGATCCAGACAACGTTGGTGAAGCAATGTCCTAAACCACGCATTTTTTTAGATGGTTTTTGTTGCACCCAAAATGGTAAATCTGGGGCATGCTGGATCCAATTTTGCTTGGATCCAACTGTTGGACACCGAAAAAAAAATACCCAACTGTTGGGGATAGATATCAACTAACCTTAAGATCCATCCCAAATCATACCCCAGACCCGCCAGACCCACTTCCTTTCAGAAGGTACGGCTGGATCCATGGGAATCAATAGAAAAAAACATCCATTATAGTTTTTTCCATGAAATAAACCAACCAGCTATTGGGGTATCCCCATGACTATGGAAACCCCTATGAATCCATCGTATATGATGATAATCCATGTTAGTTTCCTAGATTTTACTAGAGTAAATATACCTATAGCCATGTTAGTTTACCATTTATATACCTATGATTTACCATTTATAGTTAATATACCTCTAGTAACTAACAACTAAATATACCCCATGTTATACCGTAATATACCTATAGTCTATAGTTATTAAATCTAGAAAAAAACATTGTATATTAACATATCTAATGGTATACTATAGTGTAATAGATACTATTGTTTATTAAAACTTATAATATAGGTTATAAATACCATTTAGTTATTAGTTATTAAATATCCATGCATAGTATATTAATACCATTAATAACATTTTATAATGGCTATATACCATTTATCCTATAATATAAATACCATATATTATATATCCTATAATATCCTATAATGGCTACCCTCTGGTAATTTAACGTAGCTATTGAAAATCACCATTTTTCATGGGAAAATCCACTATTAATGGTCATTTTCAATGGCTACGTTAAATTACCAGAGGGTATACCAGACTCATTTGCAACAGAAATCAAATTATCTGTACTACACTCAATATAAATGGTATACCATATATAGCAGCACCATGGATCCTATGGCTAATGGCTATATACCATTAATATCATCTAATGGGACCCATATTTAGAAAGGGATATCATGGGAATATCACAGGAATATCCTATAATATCCTATAATATCCATTTAAATATAGTAAAGCATATAGTAAAGCTCATTAAATATCCATTTATAGTATATATTAATACCATTAATAAGCATTTATAATGACTATATGCCATTTATCCTATCATATAAATACCATATATCCTATAATATCCTATAATATCCTATAATATCCTATAATGGCTATATACCATTTATATCCCCCAAGGCCAATCTCCAACGGACTCCTCGAGGTCCAGTCGGCCGTCCCCCGAAGTGTCGGCTTCGTCGAAGAGCAGCGACATCTTGGCTAAGTGGGCGCGCATGGCGCGCTGCTTCCTGGGGAAAAAAAGCCGCAACCGTTTAGTAAATGGCTTATATATGGTTATATAACTGAGGTATAACTAGCCTAATAATATATATATATATAATGAATATATATATATATATACGTATATATATATATATGATGTGTATTTGTATTTATGGGTCTGTAGACCCTATAACTGAGGTAATTATACCCTGAGGTATTTAGTAGATGCCAATGGCCATTTCAGGAGCCGAAATTGGAGGTACCTACCACACATAATATCCCATACACGGTCTCTATGTAAGGGCTATGTAAGGGAATATCCAAAAAAATATGGCCTATGTGGTACAGTATATCCATTTTTGGGGTGCTGAAATTCCAATTGAAACCCATACAGAACTGGGGTATACCCTGTATGTATATATATATAGATGAGTTATATTATGGTTATCAACCACTTAGTAACTGGAATGCACATCGAAGAAGGGTAAAGCAAACAAATATGCGAATGTCATGGGGACATCATGAGGATATAGTTGATTTACCCTATTCCTATCTATTTCTTGTGTCATGTGTTTAGGGAGCATTATAGAGATGATACATGATGATACATAGTGGAAGATATTGCAACAGAAAAATAATTGTGGCATAACTATAATATATAATTATATATATATATATTTATTTGTAGAGAGAGAGAGAGAGCCAGCATTGTATAGCCATTTCCAACGGATACATTTCCCATGATCAAGCGAGTTTTCAGTCAAACAAGCACATCAGAACATGTTGACCTCCAGCCTATGGACATGGCCTTGTTCTGGAAACTCTTCCAAAAGGTTAGAAATTGGAGATGATTTTGGGGACATCAAAACTAGCAAAACCGCCACAAATGTTTGGTTTGTTTCAAAGCCAACATAGCAGACAATTTCAATCTTAACCAGCAAGACTATGGTGAGTTTTTCGCAAACGAACAATGAGGAATCCAACAGCCAGACATTGAAAAACGATGCTTTAATGAAGGATATTATAGGATATATATTTGGATATATGGTATTTATATTATAGGATATTATAGGATATATGGTGTATCCTATTAATGCCAGGAATTGTTGTTTAATGATTTGCTTTCTGAGCAAACATGAAGATGTAATCAATCAAAAGTTGAGACATGAAAGAAAAGAAAATGGACATCTGACCAACCAAAGAAAACATGAATCCCAATTATGTTAAATTGAAACGAAACAAACAATTCGGTTCTCATGGATCTTCTCAAACAACAGTAAACAACATGTGTTTTCACCAAAAATAGACTTCACACACAAAAATAGACTACTATGATATAACATTTTTTCAGACATCGAAGTCCATTTCTGAATGCTGTTGCTTCACACACTTCCCCTTCCCCTCTGGTAAACGTTTACATAGCTATGGAAAGATCCACCATGCTATTAATGGGAAAATCCACTATTTCTATGGTCATTTTCAATAGCTATTTTGACATAACCAGAGGGTAAAACCAATGTGAAAATCCACTTCGTCAGCCCCAAAGAGTTGCTCCAAATGTCTCTCGCACCATCACAGTGTCATCCATGTGCGCCACCTGGCACTGGGATCATGAAAACAGGGCTACCTGGCGGGTGACGAAAAAAACAGGGGCTACCCCGGCCCCAAATCATGAAAAAGTCATGAAGTACCCCAGACCAGGTGTTTTTTTTGCGTGAAAAACCATGCGAAAACCATCATAAGGGGCGTTTAATTGGTGAAATATGTTGAAATCGTTCTCTAGTTGAATTACTGGTAATAGACTATTGATGAGGAAAAGTGAACGCCCAGCAACAAGGTGTATATAAACATCCAAAATCAACAAGACCAAAAACACAAAACATGCGTCACCAGTCAAAACGGATATCCTTCCGCAAATGTTGCAACTCAAATCTTATGAGATTGCAAGTCAAATCGTATGAGATACACCCTATAGGCTCTCACAGGATAATCCCTGGATAGGACTGGGAGCAGGGATCATAATCTTTGAATTTCTCAAGCAACATCCCCGGCAGGTCAAGTAGATGCCACGAATAACAAGGCCTTTGACACAAAAACATAGAAACGCAACCTGCAAACCACTGCGAAACCACTTCTTGGAGCGAAGCCACAAGCTGCAGTTTTTCTTGGCTCCAGCCTTTTCTCATTGTCATCAAGTTCTCTCTGCGCAAGCGCAGAGTTTTCTTAACAGGGTCTTGTCGTCCACCTGAGGTGATTTTTCATGTGAATCCCACATCACCGCTCGTGCTTTAAAGCTTCGAGCGAAGAAAATGGAGGTATGCTAAAATATGGGTAGCCCTAAATCGTCCATTTTAATGGGATTTTCCATTATATAAACCGTCCATTTTAGGGTATCCCCATATTTCATATTTCATCATATTTCCATGTCACCAAAATTCAACATGACATTATACCTTTGCCCCATTAATACGCTCATGTCCACCATTCCAATTCCATTTGCGCTGGCACAGCCGAGCCTTGAACGTTTCCTGCATCAGCACGCCGTTTATTACACCCACCACGGCGAAGCCCATGGTGAGTTTGTGGACCAAACACACAGGCACCCAGAATTCCTTAGCCGAACGAAGGGGGTTTGGGTGACTAGCTATGGCCTTGACCACCAACGCCTTGACGATGCCAGATACATCCAGATATCCTCTGGTAAGAGTTTGCAATGAAAGCCATGGCCCATGTAGTCCAATTTTCCATAGTTGTGTGAACAACTGCAGGGTATCTGGCATTTGCTAGGCTGAGCTACATTGCAAACATTGACATGAGAGTTGGATTGCACAGCAAACGTGAATCAGGAGTTACGTGTGTTCAGATTTACTGGTATCCACAATGTCTGTAAGGTAATCCATGGTAGGTCGAACTAATGGAGTACTTTCATACTCTTCAGTATGACAAGCGGGGGCAAGGGAAGATCCACTTGGGAGTGCGTTTGGGGTTATTAATTGGTATCATACCTTGTAACAATGGTGAAATTACCACATAATTATAGTTGATAACTATGGCTGATTATACCTGCTTAGTACTCGTTATACCTGCTTAGTACTCGAAATGCACCCCCAAGCACCACCTCTCCCACTTAGTATTTGGATTGAAAGCCATTAACGGAAGTTGACGGAAGACAGCCGACAAATGAGTGGTCCCCGGATTCATAAACCCCTAGGCTGCTTCCTTGGGGAGTACCAAGTTGAAGTGGGTCATATCATATCCCTGGTTCATCCAGTGGGATACGTAGGGTTTTAATCCACTCAAAAAACTATAAAAAACTGGGGTGAACTAACCTACTTACGATTCGTGGGTAGTTCACCACCAAGTAGTCTCCCCTTTCTTTCATCCGATAAATCCGAGCGTCCGTAACGTTCTCCATGAGCAAACGTGCCACCGGGGGCCAATTGGCCAAGGTCATTTCGAACAAGGACCTTGTCACGTTTGGAGGATTCCAGAGGATACGCGCTTGCCCCAAACTATAAGGGTTGGTTTTTGTTGAAAGGTTGGGGAGCTGCGCAACTTTGGGGAACCAAGTTCTATGAAATTTGGGATTTGAAGCGATTTTGGAAGTTGACTCATTTGCAACTAAGATTGCTATTTGGATCGACTTGAATTGGAGAGGAAAATGGGAATTGAAACAACTTACCTGTTGGATCTTACCCTTATTGGGTTGGTTTATCCCCGGCAGGATGGAACTTGTCAAGTGTTTCAGAACGCTGGGAAGAACTGCCAATGGCATGATCAACGTGGTCATCATGTTTTTTAAAGCTACTATTCTTCATGTGGGGTACACATACATACATGTATATATAATTATATATATGTGTGTGTATATGTATATGTATATACAGTATATATAGTTATATACATATTTTATATTCACACATAATCTCTGTTGTATAAATATATACACGGTTTTCAGCCTCCACTTTGAGTTCAAGTGATACGACTTGGTATTGAAGGCATCCAGATGTCGCAACACATTCACTGATGTTTCAGGTATCTATGGCCAGAAACCGTACCATGCTGATATTAAGTTCGAAGTACAACATCCTGACAAATGTTCATGGCTGTTCTACTGGAGGAAGAGCCCCCCGGTTACTTTGATTTCACCCATGTATACTGTATATACTTATATATATATATATGCATGCATAACTATAGACTAGTTATATTTTATAGACATATACTGAAGAAAACCCAAACTGATCTGTTTGTGATTAAGTAAGCAAACATCGTTGCACTTTCTGGGCATTGAAAGCTGGCAGCAGACAAACAATCGAGTTGGATGAATTGGTGCATTGGATTTTCCTATATTTTCCTGCAAGAATCGGGATAATGTTGCATCAGGACTTAACTTCTGGTCATGTGCCAACATATCACCTCTTGTGATGCCGGCAACTCGACAATTACTCGACTATCATGGGCCAGGGTGGTGCCAACCGGCATCACGACCGTTTGAGTTTCAATGTGCACGGCCGCAGCCATCCAGCCATCCACGTTTGATGACCGGAGACTATTCTTTTGGGATTTTTGTTCCAAGCCCATTGATGTGAGATCCAATCACCCATTCCAGGCCATCCGATGCCGACCATTGCAGACATCATGACATCCTGCTTAAAATACTATTTTTCAAGCAATTTATGGCAAACAGATGCAACCATAATGTGTATATATATATATACTGTATATATACATATATACGCATATGAAGCATATCATATTAAAATATATTAAATATCTGCCAGCCAAGCATTTTTTCGAATGTTGCTTCAACACCAATGTTTCGCCAAAGCACAGTAAGGATCGAGTGAACGTGCCAAAGTACCAGTAGATTTTGATCTGATCCTGGGAAGTCATGGAGCTACAGTTGTGGCCAGTGAGTCAGTGATAACCCCATTTACAACTTATATCAACTTATGTATACATATAATATACATAATTTATAAGCAATTTCATGATGAAACCCATGATATACTTTGTGAATCATAGATAAATATGAGTGTTCTCTGAATTTTGCCATTGCCACTCATCGGCGATCAGATTAGACATTCCTCAACCTCATTGCTCGCCATTGGGGGTAGTTCCCCATGGCAAAAAGCGTTTTAAAATAAGACATCTCTGAAACCAACAAAAACTGGCATGTCCAAATACTGAACATGTTCCACCTCCAAACATTTTTCGACGTAAAAACCATACTTGGCATGTCTGAAAAACTTAGGAAAGTGGATCGTTTCAGATCCAAATCCTGGGTGGAGCAAAATTGCAAAGTTGCTGCGACAAAAAAACTTCAATTTCACCGTGGTTTATGGTAATCTTAACAATATGTTTTGGAGTTATTAACTATAGTTATAGTATGTCATAGTTATGAATATACTTAAAATGTGCCATCAAATTGCCATAAACCATAGTGAAATTGGACTTATTTTCGCTACAGAACTATTGGAGTTGATCAACCGAGGAATCAAACCAAAGCCCACCTTGCCAAGTGTCATCTTTGGTGTCGGCGTTTTCGGGATCGAAATAGAAACCAAAGAGGGTCCTGAGAGAGGCCAAGTCACCACGTTGCTACCAAGTTGGGTCCTCCAGATTGGTTTTCTATGAAAACAACAAATAATAAGGACAAAGGACAATAACTGTTGGATCTGTAGTGGCTATATAGTTGAAACAAAACCCACATAACATACCTGGGGAACCTCACTTTGTAGCTAAAATAACAACATGCAAAAAACAGTTGCTTTTCTCCGGCTAGATGGGCAAAAACGAGGCGAATCCTTATTGTTTTCATGCATTATACACTTTGGTAAGCAAACATGGCAATTGGACATATCTTGAAGATGCATGGCCAAACTTAGATACCTTGCAAAAAAATAAAGTCTTGGCTGGTGAACGTAGATAATCCTGTTGATACCAAAAGACTAAAGGATCAGTTTCTACCCATCCAGTTGATTGACCTAGGATGGAGGTGCTTAGATGGGAAAATCATCTAGTTTCATGGTGGATTTTCCAGCAAACCATAGAGTTGATGCCCCCAAGCAATGCAATCTCACCATACCGTAATCAGCTCCATGGCTTGGTGGAAATCTCCTTTTTCAGGGGTATTTCCATCAAGAAAAACATGTTTGATACCCAGTATATCCATTGATAATTCCCCATGATATCCCACGGTATCATCATATCACCGTTCTTGATGGTTAAATGACGTACCACCATGTTTGATGACAGCAAAGGGTTTCATTCACTTGATCCCTCTCAGGTTGGGATTAACAGGGCTCCACAGCTCCTTTTTGGGACACACCGAACTTAGCTTCAGCTAGTCTTACAGCTCTGCTTCGCTCCACCACGATCTAAAACCAGTAAATTTGATTTTGCCTAGACCCTCCAAGTACCAGCCAACCAATTGCAAAAACACTAACTAAAACTGTGGGTATCACAACATTTTAATGGGTACTTGGAGTGTCTAGGTAGAAGGATCATATCCGAAAACAACTACGTTCCTTGATCCCACTATATAGTTATTAAGCTGGGATATCATGGATATATATATATATTATAATATTTGTGTATATATATATATATGGGGGAACACTTAGTATAGTTTGGTGATTTGTATGTTAAGCCATCATCTTATAAAATCCCACTATAGAAAGTCATAAGATTCCCCCAAACCATCATGAAATGCCATCTAAAGACAAGAATATGGCATTATCTATACCACATAGTTTTACTCCCAATGTTCATCCATCATCACCAATCATCATCATGATCAATATTGATAAATGCCATCTAAACAAAACAAATCCCACTGTAGTTATTAATTACTCCCAATATATCATCATCATCATCATCATCATCATCACCACCATCATCATCATCATAACCACCATAATCATCATCATCACAATCATCATCAACATCATCAACATCACCATCATCATCACAATCATCATCATCATCATCATCATCAACATCATCATCATAATCATTATCATCATCAACAACATCACCATCATCATCATGATCATCACCATCATCATCATCACCATCATCACAATCATCATCATCATCACCATCATCATCATGATCATCATCATGACCACCATCATCATGATCATCATCATTATGATCATCATCATCACCACCATCATCATCATCTTCAACAACATCACCATCATCATCATCATCATGATCAACATTATCCTACATTATCCTCCCACTCCCACACTGTTTGGGGTCTCTTGCCCCAGAGATCCGATCCACAAACGAACAAACCAACAGGTCGAGCTTCTGCTGCACCACCAAGGCGCAAAGCCTGGGGAAACGGCGAGTTTTCCACGAAACCATGGGGAACTGGGTGTCTATTTAAACTGTGTATATATATATATAATAGATTTGGTGGCTCATCCCACTTATCCAACAAGTATATTATATAACCCTATGGATCCAAGATGATCCAAGTATCTTCTAGGGAATTCTTTGGGGTATGATTTGGGGGGTTAAGTGCCTTCTTAGAAAGTGTTTGGATCCATAGGGTGTAAATTCTAAGATACAAACAAAAGTTTATCTTATAGATAATATAGATTCTAAAATACTATATATTTGTTCCAGATTAGTTGTGAATTCAAGCTATTGACATATCTCCATACAGATGGCCCAGTTCAGTTGAAGATTCGTGAAACTGGCAGTTTAAGATATCTTTAGTATGTTAGATTGATATTGGGCATCGTGAGATATTTATATATTTTGAGGGATCAAGATCTGTTATGAGACAAAGAATCAAGCTTGGCATGATGAAACATCAGGGGGACATCTAGGATATTTCCAGTAGGAAGGTTTACTAGGATTATCTCAACTTATGGCATGAGGAAACACATCCAATTCCTACTTGGGGGTTCCAGTTCCACTTATAAGTGGTTATATGCCCATAGTTACCTGGGTTATATCCCAACTTATAGGGCTATCATGGGCTATTAATACCATGGTTATTCGGTTATTCCCATAAAAATAAGCCCTGGCCCGTAGTAGGGACTACTTGGAGGTCGTTTGAGGACACATCCTACAGGATGGAGATAGGGGTGACCCCTTCCTGTACCCCTCCTGTAGTGTTACATGATTTGTGGGGAAAAGCCACAGTGGCGAATTTGGGACATAAATGTAGTCAGCTGACATACTCCATGTGTTCAATGTGTTTTAATCTAGGGGATCGAAGCCTATTCTTACCGTATTTGGGTGAATAACCATCCATAACCAGTTTTTTAGTTTTTTATGTATCAGCTTGTTGACCCATAACCATATGTGCAACATGTGTTCTTCTTAGATGCAAGAAAACCGATTCATGCCTTCTTGGCGAAGCATATTTCATTTCGCGCCAGCCACTCAGCAAGCCCCGCCAAGTCGCATCTGACACACGAAGAGTAAGATTATGGTCCATCCTGAGAACATCCCACCGAAACGATGTGAATATCATGTAAACCCCCAAGCTGACCCCCCCCTTTTTACTGGTTATAGTAGATATGCACAAGTTCAGAAAAGACTTAAAGTACGAGAGTATCTACGTCAGGTTGAAGCAGTTTCGTGGTTAATCAATGCCTTTCACAAGCGCAAAGGCCAATTCCGGGTTCCACATGCAGCCAAATTCCTTTCTTTCCAAGGACACATCTTGAACCAACACCAAGTATGCACATTCAGATTCACTGTAACTAAAATATTTATACGATTTCATTGTAATAGTGACTTAGCCCTAAAAACAGAGAACGGTTCTTTACCACAATCTTAGAAGAAACTCTGATCTCTGTGTATCTTGGGGGTTATTTTATACAAATATACATATCTTCAGAATTATTCCGCAATTACATGAGTCAGACAGTAACCATGACACAAGGCAAGACTTCCTTGTATAACAACATCGCGAAGACGCTCAAAATTCGTTTGGCGACGTGTTTTTTTTTCCGGGGGGATATAACGAACAAAAAGTTGATGGGATCAACCAACAAAACTGTAGGTCCTCACCTTGCAAAGGTCCGCCAAGCATCCCAGAACCATGAAACTGCTTCGTATCGCTGTGGTCATCAGAAACAGTGCGTCGAACTCTTTCCTTGGCGGAGAAAGAAGTACGAAGATGCAGCCGGGTACCAGTTAGAAGTGTGGTATACCCCAAGTTTTTGCTATTTCAAAGGGACAATTTACCCCTCCAGTGGGGGAAGAATGTGTTTTCTCTAAAACTCATGGCTTAGAAAAGCAGCACGTGTACAATTTGTTTGGTTCTAATTACAAAGAGATACAAAGAGGCTCCCCTCAGCTATCCCAGTTCTATATCTTGGATTTTCTTAAGTCCCCCCCAAGCAAAACAACAAAATCTCCCCTATGGATTCCCCATATCTGGTGTAGTTAAACAACAACTCACCTTCTACAAACCCATGAAATTTCCCATTACCCTCTGTCAACACAGCTATTGAAGATTGCCATTTAGTGCCTTGATTCACCTATTCAAAATGTGACTTTAACAAAGCTATATAATTATTGCAAATTGCCATGATTTTCGTTGATTTACCGATGAAACATTGTGATTTCCCATAGTTTTTGGTATGTTTACCGGGTTCTCGTCCCAGAAATTTGGTCATGAAAAACGCGTCTTTCATTTCTGGACTCGGCGCTTTTTGGGGCCCGGGGCCGAAAAAATGCCATGCCAGGAAGTGAAGGCGAGTTTATCTTTTAGATATACCCTCTGGTTTATTTAACATAGCCATGGAAAATGGCCCATTGATAGATGATTTTCCCAGCTAGAAACCTCCATTTATAAGGGATTTTCCATGGCTATGTTAAATAACCAGATGGTACATCTGAGATCATCTGAGTAGTGTTCAAAATCCCTCTATCATTCGCTGAAATACTGGCTGGTTTATAGGGATTCCCCTATTGGATTATGATAGTCCCCAATATATTGGGTAGTATAATCCCCTATCATCAACCAACAGGGGGTTTTGAACATTGCTTATCTGGATATATATGTTGCTAATAGAGATATAACTTTTAATAATCTATATGCATATCATAATGTAAAAATGAATATGTATGTACAATATATATATATATATTGTGTATATGTATTTGTTTGATGTCACAATGTATGTTGAATTCAATACATACATAAGTTGTAATTATACCATACTTATGATTAACTCGGGTAAATAGATATGCAAGCTGTAATAGGGACCATACTTAACAATTCAAATAAATGAATGGAAACTCATCGCATTACATATGTAAGCATCCATGACTTTTGGAGTCACACATGTAAATAATAAATACTGTAATGATAATGCTTTCATCCATTGGGTCAGCTAGTTACTTCCAGTAAAGCACTAATTCACTTGAGTATAGTATATTAGCTGATTACATTATAAAAGTATAGTTCACATTAGTGTCGTTTACAGTACAGTTCATCCATATCATGGTCAATCTTTGGTAGTCCACAAATAACTAACATGTTTTTCTGTTCATGGTTATTTTCCATTTGGAGCAAAACAAAACCCATGTCATATAAATGGTTAAAATGGATGAACATGGAAAACCTATACAAAAAATATAGTTATCATCCATTTATAGGATGAGGATTTGATAGTTGTTTGTAAACCCAGAGTAAATTACCATAGTAATTTCACGCCCATGAAACTCCCATAGTAAACCCATAGTAAACTTCTGTCCTACATCCATGTTCAAAGGTACCGAGTCGAGCATCATCTGCCGCACCAAGCGTAGCATCCGCAGCAAGCGGAAGAGACGGCCCAAGCGGAGGATCTGACCTGGGGAGATCCCGGGAACATATCCATAGGGCTACCCCTGGTACCATCATCCATGTTATTTTTTCTCATTTTCCCTTATAAACCAACCATTATATTATCAGCCATTTCTGGAAACCACCATTTATGGTAAACATATGGTCAAAATGATGATTTCACCCAGAAACATTGCCAAGAATTGTGGAGCCAAAATGCTGGAGTTCGAAGGGAAAATCCATGGATTTCACAGAAAATTTCGAGAAGGATTTCGTGTCTCGGACCAACGAAGAGGGATCTGCAGAACCCAAATGGTACCCCTGTCGCTGGTGAATGGATGGTGATTTTCCCCCAGTCATATTGAGAATGACATAGGTTTTGAATGGAAAAATGCCCAAATTAACGCTGTTTGATGCTTTTTGGGACCACCGACTTCGGTACCCTCTGGTCGGTTCAACCTGATGGAAAGTCGACTTTACTTCGTAGATGATCAAATCTTCTTATGGATCTTATGGCATGCCATGGGGATGCAGTGGGGAGATAATGAGATGAGGATACAGAGGAGATACTAGCACAGCCAGAATGAAACGACTGACGGAACCTGAACTGACTGATTATTAAACAAACAACTCTACGCCAAATTTAGCAGAAAATTGAGGTCTGATTGTGCACCTGTAATTCTCAACCGTGAATTTTCCCGAATTCTAAGTGATGTGAAGATCCATGGGTCACATCTCCATTTTTTGAAGCGAAATCCAGATCGACCCAGCGGCTGTTCACCGGCAAAGCGGTGCCGGTCTTTCCAAAGACCCAAGCGACGACCACCACAAAGTCCAACCAGTTCCAGCCTTCACCTCAGGATGTTTTGGGAAAATCAAAGGGATATGTGGGATATGTTGATACTGCATTTTGCATATTTACAATGGACTATTCGTACATATAAAAATATAGACACAGTATCTTTGTATGTAGTGAAATGAACATAACTTAATGTCATGCCATGTGGTGTAATGCAATGCAATGTGATATTTAATTTGATGTCATGTCTGCCTATTTTTGTCCCTGTTCTTATATTTATATATATATATAACTATATATAATATACATACAATATAATGCCAACCCTGTCAGTACAAAGAACAACCCGTCACATTAATTCAACAATCAGGGAGTCGCCAAAATAGTGATGATAACCCCATGACATAAATGGTGCACACCATGTTTTACTAAACCGGGCCTTTATGGCTCCGAGGTCTAGCCTGGAAACTTCCAAATAGGTCACGAAGCTGATTTACTGCCAGATATATGGCCAACCTCTGGTACCGCAAGAAAACATGACTCTTTCAGCAGAACATTGAGAATCTCGTATGTAAAGCGTATACCATTGTAATATATATATATGTGCATATGTAAAATGATATATATATATATAATATTATTATATAGTGTAAAAAAATAATATACACTATAATATATAATTAAATAATTTGATATAATAATATAAATACAATATAGTTTAATTATATAAAATAATATATAATATAATATAATAAAATATAATATGATATAATATGATTTAATATAATATGATATAATCGAATATAATATGATATAATATATGATATATAATATTTAATAATATAGTTTATTATAATACTATAATAATATAATTAATATGATATAGTATAATATAATATGATAAATAATATAATATGATATAATATAATATAATATGACAAATAATATAATATGATATATAATATAATATGATATATAAAATAACACAATATAATATAATATAATATAGTATAATATAATATAATATAAACAATATAATATACTATATTATAATCTCTCTATATATTTATATATAATATCTATAATTTACAATATGTATAATATAATATAAATATACACATACAATATTATGAATAATATGTACAATAATGTGTGTGTGATACCTTCCAGTAACCAGTCGGCCTAGAAGACTCCTCTATTTGGCCTTTTTGAGAGGGACCCAGTCTCAGATACCCTGCATTTCTGTTGGTTTGTATATGGCTGGATGAGTAATAATAAATCATCAATCAAGCTTAATAGCTGAACACTTCAGCCCAAATAAGAATGCCCTTACCATTCCCAGAATTTCCAGACATATCCCCAGGCAAAGTGACAAAAGGTTCAAGTTTTGAAGTACTGTACAATGTGGTGCCTTCCAGTTATAAATTGCTTTGTAAATCCCATCAACTATATATATATAGACTATAGATATATCATGATAGATCTACCATAAAGCATAGTTGTATGACTAACCATAATATACTATAATGTATAACCTAGTTACCCTCTGGTAATTTAACATAACTATGGAAAATCACCATTTTTAATGGGAAACTCACTATAAATGGCCATTTTCAATAGCTATGTTAAATTACCAGAGGGTATGTTCACCAAGCTGGGAGGCCGCCCCAACTTCCGCCAAGGCTCGAAAGAACGCCGTACGATCCACCAGAATCTTGACGCCAACCTGGCGTCCAGATATGACCAGATATGAGTTGAGTTTTTTTTTGTCGTGGGATCCAACACCAGAAATGGATACCCTCCGGTAAACATAGAAAAAACTATGCCAGCCACGGCCAGCCATGGCCAGCCATGGCCATTGAAATAGTGGATTTACCCATGAAACATGGTGATTTTCCATAGTTCTGCAACAAATTAGCCATAGAAATAGTGGATTTACCTACTCAAAGTGGTGGTTTGAACTGCTTGGACCTGAGGAAATCCGCTGCCGTTGGGGTGAAAAGGCGTGTTTTCTTGGCATTGAATAGGCCTTCGTGAAATCCCAATAAAGATTCCAGTTTGGTTGCTCACCTGGAAGAATCATCCTACTTGGTAAGTTGCCAATAACCCTGGTTTAGTAAATCCACACGATTCGTGTGGAATTTTCCCATAGTACAGATCACAAATACCTCTGGTTACCAACCAATTACTGTGGATCCCTGTTGCTAAGTGCTTTAAGTCGTGGATAATAACTGTGCTGGTCACCTACTTTTATTTCGGGATATCGCCCATAATAATCTTGTAACATCCTATAACCATGTGTTCTATATGGAACATTCACCGTATACTTCAGGTGGATCTTGGTGGTGTAGTTCCACTAATTTATCAGTTCCATAGCTGTAGGGCTTGTGTCCCAACTGATGGATGTGGCCAGGGTTGGCCACCCATTACATCATAACTTCTGCCCCCCATTCAAGTAGCTTGTATCACCATGAAAATGCCCATCTGCATCCCCAGAAATCACATATTTTCATGCTTAAACTCGTTAAACTCTGGGAACTTAATTATCATGCTGAATCTTAGATACCTCACAAAAAACATCAAAAAACGAACTGTTCGCTGGTGAGTACATTTTACCATTGATAGCAAAAAATTGAAGTACTAGTTCGTGTCTACCCAAGGTTTACCCAATCATTAACTCCCATCTACTGTGGATGGTTAGATGGTTTATCCCTTTATAATCCCATGAAATTCGCAGCGTTTTATAGTTACCAACTATAATAATATGCTGTAATGGTAACCATAGAACCACTGGAAGAAATCCCATGATAATCCCATCATAGCTGCCCTGACTGGTGAAGGATTTTGCCACCATCCACAGTATGAAAACCACAATTCCTGGGACCCCGGACCTCGACGGTGAAGATGATGCCGAAAATCAGTTCAGCAATCTGCGTTTTTCAAAACGGGGTGGTTAAAAAAGACGCTTAATGTGTATTTCATGGGAAAAGTATGGGAATATGATGGGAGATGTATTCATATTCATTATATATATATATGTACGTAACTAACTAACTGGTAATATTTCAGATGGTAAACCCCCGTTCAAACCTCCATCAACATGTTTGATTTGTCCATCATTCTCCGCTTTCTCTCTCCGATATAACAGAATTCTTGGACCAGTTCAGTCCCTATTCTTGTTGGTTTGGATGGGTTTGGCTCCCATTCAAAGATTGCCACCAGCAGAGGATCAAAGAACCATGGTTTAGAAGAACCCCACATGGTAAAGTTATGTAAGTTGGGATAGATTGGATTTTTGTATATATATATATATATGCCCAAACATGTGTATGTGTATGTATTTGTTTAAACACACATATAGCAAAGAAGCAACACAATCACATAATTACAGGGTATTCTTGCGGTAGCCTCGGGCAGTTGTGGCCGGCCCCCTGCGGGACCTTTGCTGAAACTCTCAGAATATCCCAGGGTTGTTTTCATGGATCATTTATGGTTGAAAGCCGGCAATTTTGAGAAAAACATCCTATGGTATCATGGGTTGTTCACATCTGCATGGAAGAAATCCTGCAAGACTTGGTTCATGGTTCCCATAACTTGCTGGTGCTAAACGTCGGGAATGGATGGGAATGGGGTAATGGGATGATTATTGATAGCTATTGTGGATCATTCCCTCATCTCCCTACTAAGCACAAGTAAGGTAACCCGATGATTTACAGCGCTTCATTCATCCCATCCACTCTTCCTTCGCACCTCAAAAGTCATTTCCGCACCGGGCCATAGAGTCACTGCACCGTCCTGGAGTTACGCATCGCGGTGGGGAAAAAATATATGAATGTTATAATGACTACTTGGCAACCATTAGTAATCAATAACTAAGAACCATATTAATAACATTTATAACTATTTGGTGGTGAACTACCCACGAATCGTAAGTAGGTTAGTTCACCCCAGTTTTTTGAGTGGATGAAAACCCTACAGAAATTCCACTGGATGAACCAGGGATATTTCACCTACTTAGGATTCGTTGGACGAGTCACCAAGGTAGTATATTGAACATAACTAGTGATAGTGATTGATTACTAATTAATGATTAATAAGTAATAACTAAGAAATAATCAATATGATAAGTGAACTAAGAAAGTAATAATATTGAACTAATCAATATGATAATTGATTACTAAGAAATAATATTGAACTAATCAATATGATGATAAGTAATAACTAAGAGACTTATATTGATAATAATCAGTGAGAGTTGTCAAAATTCTTAGTTATTGATTCCTAATTAATAATTGATTGACATGATAATCAATATAGAGGGAATCACTGAGGTTCATTATGATGGACAGTTAAGTTATCTGTTATCTGTTTCTTAGCTATGTAATCACCGCTACTCTTATACCGATATGGCTAATTGTTTGTAACCCTGGAATGATAAAGTAGAAAATCCGTGTGCTACTAATTTGTTGACTAGTTGATTACCCTCTGGTAATGACTGACATAGCTATTGAATATGGCCCATAGAAATAGTTGATTTACCATGATTTACCTATGTTTATCATGATTTACTATATTTACCATTGAAAATGGTCATTTATAGTAGATTTACCCATTAAAAAAGGTGATTTTCCATATAAATCACCGTTTTCCCATGGTTTCCCATGCTTTTCCCATAGCGAACTGTTAATCCACCAGAGGCTAACCGCTGCTGATGCACTGATCCCAATGGAGATGCACTGATCCCCCTTGGTCGTTCCTTTTGGCACTGATGTTGGATAACCACAACGACATCTATATATATATATATCCTCTTGTTATTTAACATAGCCATGGAACATTTATAGATGATTTTCCAGTTAAAACCTCCATTTATGAGCGATTTTCCATGGCTATGTTAAATAACCAGCTGGTAACTGTAGATATTAATGTACATGTCATGTATATATATATATAATTATATATATATATATAATTATTTATATAATTATATATATATAATTATATATATAATTATATATATAATTATATATATAATTATATATATATAATATATATATATATATATATAATTATATATATACCATACGCTCCAGTTTTTTTCAGTTATAAACCAACTGAATCCTATCTTGGTGTCCCTGGTGTTTGGTTCTCTGTATCCCAGTATTCTCCGTTATATCCCAAGTTCCAAGTGTAACTATATCCCTATAGAAATCATATTCAATTACGTCTTTTTTGGTAACGGTAGTGGAGATCATTGCCGCCCTCCACAGAATATGGAGATCACACGGATAAAGCCATCGTTTGGATAAATCCGTTTGGAATATTGGAGGTTTCCTGAGTCATAGGGGTACCCCCAAATCATCCATTGATAGATGGATTTGCCATTAAAAACCAACCATTTGGGGTACGTTCATTTATGGAAACCCCCATTTGGATTATCCAAAAAACTATGGTTACACAAGGTATATACCCCTATGGATCCGGCCATACCTTCTTAGGAAGTGGTTGGACTATAATTTACTATAATTTGGAGGGTTAAGTAGCTTCTCAGACAGTGTTTGGATCCATGGGGATTTGGAATATCCCAAAAACTATGAACCACTACTGACTATGAATATATCTACCATAATTCCAAGTTATTGGAGTTATAGACCAAGTTAGCTAACTATGGAGTACCACCTTGTGGAATAACCCAAAGAACAACCATAGAATCAACCATCATCTGGAGATGCCCCGCACCTCGCTGATACCCAACTCTCTGGCCAGTTCCAAGCCCTGGCCGAAGCCACGGAGAGCTCAGAGATCAACGACGAAGCTCAGAGATCAACCATTGGAATGAGGAAATAGTTGATATCTATGATAAAATAGCTCAGAATCAATATAGTGATGTATACCATTGGAATCAATACCATTGCTCAGAATCAATGTACCATTGGCATGATGTTGGTGTATGGCTGGGAAGTAATCTCATTATAGTACTATTATAGTGTTAAATCAATTTAAATCAAATATTACAGGGGAATGATGGATTTGCGATTCTTGGCCTGCTTGGAATTTTACATCACAGAATTCGGACTGATTCTGGCAGTAGAACAATTCAAGCTGAAATAAGGACAAGGACAAACAGAACAAATCACAACCATGTTGCTGTGAAAGTCTTGCTTCCACCTTTACATCTGAATCCGCAGAAGATCATTTGAGTTCAAAATAAAAGCTGTTGTTTGGTAAGTTGATAATCATAGTGCGTTATGAATCGAACTATGTTGATTCAGAGGGTTACAGTATGTAGCTTGCTCAACAACAGTACAACATTACATATGTACCTACAGAACCATACTTACTTCACAATCAACCACCAGAATGTCTAATCTTGGATACACTTCCAACATATTTATACATATATAGCTGGTGATAGTTATAGCTGTAATATCTAAAACATAAGATACATGTGGCAAATATATGTTATATATTCTTTATAGTGCCTGTATATAAATATATATATTATACAGTAGAACATATATATATATATAAAGCATGAAAGTGGCACATCCAAGGTAAATCTGTGTCGGAAACATACCCTTTCCGTTTTGTCCGCAGGCCACGGCGTGCTCGGTATTGTGCTTCAAAAGCAAACATCACCGCGTTAATGACGATCAAGGCACCTCAGTCTGGCGTCAGCAGCTTAGCACCTTTGAACAAAACAAGAAAGTTTTGACACTCCGTTGCCTGGGAGCAAAGTTTCTATAAATGTTGAGTTTGGGAGTAATCAGAATCCAGGTATTGTGAATACCACTGTGCTCGCAATTGCACAATTGACTGATTAGTGGTCAATAACTAAAGAATTGATTTCCATCAATTTCCACTGGGAGAATGAATGTCCACTAGTTTCCACTGGGTAATCCATTGATCCACTGAGTTTCACCATGTGGTTGAAGCAGAAATCTGCAGTTCGAGCCGCAACCAGCAAGGATCTCATCCCATCCCCCCTAAACATTCGTGGAATTTCGAGGGGCCCCCATGGCTGATGGGGGACATTCCAATACTACTCCCATACTACTGCCATAAGAAACACCAATAATATGGGTTATGGGAAGGTCCCATCATTGTCACCATTGGTCCCTACAAACTCCATATGTGAAACACATCCATTCTATGGTCCCAAGTATGTGTACATGTCTTGCGTAAGCATGGTTAATGGATGTTAATGGGATGTGTTTGATCTAAGGAAGGAGTACCAATGAACCATCACCCTTCACTGCCCATTGATTTTGTGGAACTCCGGCTTGCCAAACCTAGGATTTCGATCGGTGAAGCCGAGGAGCTCATGATGCAGTCAAAGATTGGGTGGTGAATGATCATCTTCATCCTCTGCAAAAGGGGCTGACTGCCGAAGCCTCAGAGCATTGAGAAAAATCGCGGGGCGCGGGTTGGTCGAGGTCACAAGATGTATGGCCCCAGGGATCCTTTGAGAAGTACCTAAACCAACATTAGGTGGTTTCCCCAAATTTTAGGTGGTTTCCTCCAAGCCCATGTCCAAACCAAGATTAACTGTTTAGGTGGTTTCCCCCAAGTGTTTCACAGCTCCCCGACATCCATCGACGATTTTAGATGCTCCGCCAAGCAGCTCAAGCTCACTGAACCAGTGGATTTATGCTGGAACCTCGGTGAAAATTCAAGGCCTGGGGGACCATGGTTTAGTCCTTTTTTAGTACCATCCAATCGTTGGGGTACTCAATTTTGATCCGTACCTCTGTTCGAAGATGATCTAACATAATCTAACCACCAAGACAAATGTAGATTTCACCAGCATGCTGGAGGATGTTAGCAATGTGATTTCACCAGCAGCATGGGGAAGACAATTCAAACAGGATTGCACCAACAACGATGAGGATCTAACCTTAACCAATGAAGAGAGGAACTGAACCAACGAAATTTCAAAGACCCTAAAAAAGATAGGTCAAGTCAAAACAGTAGTTTTTGGAGGAAAATAAACATGGTTCAGAGCCAGTTCAGATTTATGGGCCACAGCAAATCTAAATGAGGCCATATTTACAGGAAGGGGCTCCCTAGATTTGTATGTTGGCTTGCAACTGGGCCGCAACTAGGCTAACACTTTACCACGCGTTTATACTTTATGGTATATATATATACACATATATGTATACAAGTACAGTTTGATGGGTTACAAATCATAAGTGAGAGGCTCCTTCTTGGTGGCTCAACTGCGGGGACACCACCTTCTAAGACTCAAAGTTGAAGCTGTCGCTCGACTTATGTATACATGCAATGGAGCCAAAAGTTTTGTCACTGCTGTCAAAGTGATTGGAGTGGCAGGGTACGAGAGATCTTTATTAACACTTGACATTCCACAACACATAGTGTGCTCAGAAAGTTGACTTTTCCAAGTTTCAGCTAATCCTGATCCATAATTTCGAATATTGCTGGGATACCAATCTACAGTTCCAGACTCACCCAATTGCAAACCATGTACTTGTATGGATTGTACACACTGACCCACATGCTATGCAAGTTGTATCCCTAAAATGGTGGATTGATATATCTGCATCTTGATGGGTTTACACAAGAACATAAACCAACTTCCAACTCGGGTTGCAACATCACATGTTTAGTCAATTTCCAACTGTATCTATATATATATGTATCCGAGTTATATACCATGTATTATATTCATAATGAATAAATGAACATGTATAATTACTCATCTATATAACTGTATATATATAGACAAATATTATATAATGTGGGCAACCCGATGATAATCCTACTATTTGGGGACGAAGTATACCACCCAACAAAATCATTGTTTTTGGGGATGGTTGATTATTGGGTTTACCACATTATATAATATACATATATATATATATATCTATGGATCCAAACACTGTCTGAGAAGGTTCTTAACCCTCCAAATATAGTAAATTATAGTCCAACCACTTCCAGGTACGGCTGGATCCATAGGGGAATATAACTTATATAACCATAGTTTTTGGGATATTCCAAATGGGGGCTTCAATAAATAAATGAACGTACCCCAAATGGTTGGTTTCCAAATATAATATAATAATATATATATAATATATTTATAGTTATATATAACTGATTTTCCTACTTGTTTGTTGCATCAAGCACTTTTGACTAGGAACCAGGTGTGGCTCTTGTTCGGTTTGCCCTTCGCATCGTGATGCCAGGGAGGCCTCATTGGGAAAGGCTGGGATATGGTGTTCACACATATATATATATATGCATGCATGCATGCATGCATGCATGCATGCATGCATGCATGCATGTATGTATGTATGTATGTATACATGTATACATGTATACATGTATGCATGTATACATCTATACATCTATACATCTATACATCTATGTATACATGTATACATGTATACATGTATTTTGCATTATTTTACACCACATAATAAGTATATATAATATGTTTGAGACATTTTGGTATCATCTATATACGTTTCTGAAGGCAAAAGGTGGACAAGCGAGGCCGAAATGAGGGCTGAAAGCAGCAGTCTACTGCCCAAGCAGCAGTCTTACCAGCAAAAATCTTAACCGGGATTCTGGGAAATTTTGGGAAATTTGATGGGTTTTAGACACACAGCCACTTTGAGCAACAGATCCATGGTGGATTTGCTCCGATTTACTCCGATTTAGGTGGAAATCGGACCTGATCTTTTCAGGATATCCTCGAGTTTCAGTGAGCATCACTTGACATTAATTCAACAACCGGGCGTGGGGGACCTCAACTGGATGAGAGGTAGTGTTGGCAAAACACGAAAATCTTGATTTGCTGAGATTTGATAGTACTATTCAACAAAGCAAATATAGCTGTGAAATATTTACTTAGTACTAGTATGTAATCTTGATATAAATTTGATAGCACTATCATCCATTTTCCATTTTTTTTGGACTAGTACTGTCATCTATATGGAAATCAATATGAGGCGCCACCCCTTGCGTCTTGCTGAACGGCGGCCGAGGGTGCTTCTGGGGCGACGCGGGGGGCGCCTGCGCCGTCACACTGGATGAAAAATTAAATAGGACATTCAAAACCTTTGATTTGACTATATAATATTATATAGTAATTGCGATTTGAGGAATGTGACAGGAATTTTCATTATTCTGATCTGAGGAATGCGAATGTTCAAAAGTTTCCATGATATTTATCATTTAATGTGGGATACAGATTAGTGTGGGGATACACTATTGTGTCCACAGACCTCAAAATAATTGTGTAACTTTGGAAATGATCGAGGGTACAGTTTTGTGTCCACAGGATTTTGGTGTAAGTTTTTATTCAGTTTTTTTTTTTTAAAGTTTTAAATTGTTTTAAATTATTTTCTATTTTTTGTTTAATTGTTTTAAAATGATAATTAATTCTCATATATATATATAATTAATTAATTAATTAATTAATTAATGATTCAATTTTTAACTTAACAAAATTTAACATTACATTTTTTGTTTTCTGTATATATTCAATTGTTAATTTAACAAAAACATATATATATAATATAATTATTCAATTTTTAATTTGACAATTTTAAACATTATATTTATTTGCGTCAGGATACACTATTGTGTCTTGGTCTTGTGTCTGGGGTACACTATTGTGTCTTGGTTTTGTTTCTGTTCAAACATTTTTCATTTTTTTTCATTGTTTTAAAGTTTTTTATTTTACTTTTTATTTCCCATCATTGAAATTTTCCAGAAGCCTCCCACAGAAAATTACATCCAGTTTCACAATAGTATGGGGATACACTATTGTGTCCAGCTGCTTCCCTGAGGTGATGATTTTGATTTTTTCAATCATTTCCTTTACCTTTTCCTTTGCTAAAGTTTTCTCCTTTTAATTAAATGGCATGCAATTACTTTCTTAGTTTCTTTCATTTGAAATTCTCAGAAATGCCCAATATCCCAGAATATATGATGCCTTATTAAAACCCAATTAAAAAACATCACTCAAACAATTTGTCAAGGGGGTAGTGCATGAGCAACCCTGATCCACACTAGTGTAGTTTGTTTGGGGGTACACTATAGTGTCCAGATGCTTCCTGGGGTGATGTTTTTTTTTCAAACATTCCCTTTCCCTTTTCCTTTGCTAAAGTTTCTCTTTTACTTCCTAAATTTTCTGAATTAGTTTCTTTCATTTGAAATTCTCAGAAATGCCCAATTTCCCAAAATTTATGACACCTTATTGAAACCCAATTAAAAAAACATCACTCAAACAATTTTTCAAGGGGGTAGTCCAAGAGCAACTCTGATCCACAATAGTGTGGTTTGTTTGGGGGTACACTATTGTGTCCAGCTGTTTCCTGGGGTGACGTTTTTTTCAAACATTCCCTTTACCTTTTCCTTTGCTAAAGTTTCTCTTTTACTTCCTAAATTTTCTTAATTAATTTCTTTCATTTGAAATTCTCAGAAATGCCCAATTTCCCAAAATATATGATGCCCTATTGAAACCCAATTAAAAAAATCACTCAAACAATTTTTCAAGGGGGTAGCCCATCAGCAACCCTGATACAATAGTATGGTTTGTTTGGGGGGTACACTACTGTGTCCAGCTGTTTCCTGGGGAAATTTTTGTTTCAAACAATCCCTTTACCTTGTCCTTTGCTAAAACGTTCTTTTACTTCCTAAACTTTCTTAATTAGTTTCTTTCATTTGAAATTCTCAGAAATGCAAAATTTCCCAAAATATATGATGCCTTATTAAAACCCAATTAAAAAACATCACTCAAACAATTTTTCAAGGGGGTAGTGCATGAGCAACCCTGATCCACACTAGTGTGGTTTGTTTGGGGGTACACTATTGTGTCCAGATGCTTCCTGGGGTGATTTTTTTTAAACAATCCCTTTACCTTTTCCTTTGCTAAAGTTTTTCTTTTACTTCCTAAATTTTCTTAATTAGTTTCTTTCATTTGAAATTCTCAGAAATGCCCAATTTCCCAAAATTTATGACACCTTATTGAAAACCAATAAAAAAAACATCACTCAAACAATTTTTCAAGGGGGTAGCCTATCAGCAACCCTGATACACAATAGTATGGTTTGTTTGGGGGGTACACTACTGTGTCCAGCTGTTTCCTGGGGAAATTTTTGTTTCAAACAATCCCTTTACCTTGTCCTTTGCTAAATTGTTTTTTTCTTCCTAAACTTTCTTAATTAGTTTCCTTCATTTGAAATTCTCAGAAATGCACATGTTCCCAAAATATATAATGCCTTAATAAAACCCAATATAAAACCATCACTCAAACATTTTTTCAAGAGGGTAGTGCATGAGCAACCCTGATCCACACTAGTGTGGTTTGTTTGGGGGTACACTATTGTGTCCAGATGCTTCCTGGGGTGATTTTTTTTAAACAATCCCTTTACCTTTTCCTTTGCTAAAGTTTTTGTCTTTTATGGTATTTCTATGGATTTCTATGGAATTCCTGTGGAATTTCCATGATGTTTCTATGATATCTCTGGAGGATTTCTATGGGATTTCTGAAGGGGATCTATGGGAGTTCTATGGTATTCTTATTGGATTTCCATTGGAATCCTATAGGATTTCTATGGTCTTTCTATTGGATTCCTATGGTATCTATTGGATTCCTGTGGGATTTCCAAGGTATTTCCATGATGTTTCTATGATATTTCTATGGGATTATTTTTGGAATTATCATGGGATTTCTTTGTGGTTCCTATGCTATTCCATGTTATTTCTATGCTTCTATGATCTTTCTATGGGATTTCTGTGGGATTCCACTGGGATTTCCATGATATTTCTATGATCTTTCTATGGGATTACTATGGGATGTCAATGGAAAGTAAATTGAAATCAAATGAAAGTAAATTGAAATCAATGGAACGTAATTAAATTGAAATAAATTGAAATCAATTGAAAGCAATTTGAAAGTAAATTGAAATCAATTGAAAGTACATTGAAAGTAAATTGAAATCAATTGAAAGTAAATTGAAAGTAAATTGAAATCAATTGAAAGTAAATTGGAAGTAAATTGAAATCAATTGAAATCAATTGAAATCAATTGAAAGTAAATTGAAATCAATTGAAAGTAAATTGAAATCAATTGAAAGTAAATTGCAATCAATTCAAAGTAAAAGGAAATCAATTCAAAGAAAAATGACATCAATTGAAAGTAAATTGAAATCAATTCAAAGAAAATTGAAATCTATTCAAAGTAAATTGAAATCTATTCAAAGTAAATTGAAATCAATTGAAAGTAAATCGAAATCAATTCAAAGTAAATTGAAATTAGATCAAAGTAAATTGAAATTATTTGAAAGTAAATTGAAATCAATTTAAAGTAATTTGAAATAAATTGAAATCAATTGAAATCTATCATTTTTTTGATTCCACACTATTGTGTACCCGGCCCCTTGTTTTTTCCACACTGTTGCGTATCCAAAATTTGTTGGGGGGGAGGGGGGGACCCCCCTACACTAATCAGCAACCTACATTATCATCATTTGATCTTTAAGTTGTCATTGATAATTCATCTACCCTCGGCCCAGCCTTGGTGTCGCCGACGGGAGCTCCAGTGCGATCATCCAAGAGCGTAGTGATGGAGACGGTCCCGGCTGCCGCCCCTGACGACTTTGCTGGTGCCCATTCAGTGAGTTATTCAGTATCAACTAGGTAAGGGAAACAAAAAAAAAAGATATTCCCTACATGGTGGTTCATCCCACTTAGTAAGCAGGCTATAAGCCCAGCCCTACTTATCCCACTTCGAACCAGGGATATAACTTATAACCTACTTAGGATTTGTAGGTAGTGAGCCACCAAGAAGAAAAACACGCAGTGGGAAGATCCTCCAAAGTTGCTGAAACATGGCAATTGCAATTGACAATTCCCAAACAAAGATCAACGATACAGAAAAAATGTGAGGTTTGCAGCCATCTTTAATTGCCAAAGGGTAACCAGGAAGAATCAGGACTCAGCACTTTGACGAAGAAATTTTAGGACATGACATGATGTAAAGGGAGGTAGCGGGCGAGAATCAGGGTTTAACTAAGAAAAATGAGGATTGAACCAAGACAATGTGGATTTAACCATGACACATGGAAATTCATCAGGAACATTGCTGGAAAACAAAGGGGAACTAGCCATAATGTTATACAGCTTTTAGGGGGCGTACAAATGCATAAAAAATAAGGTTCTACTCGACAGTTTTTGGGATTTACCAGAAATATTGGGGATTCAAACTTGGGTTGAATTCGATTTGGTTACCTAATGTGTTTTTAATGAGATTCATTGGAGTTTCATGGGAATTTTTGACCATGGTGAAGATGGATTTTGAGAATGAGATTTTGACCATGGCATTCCGCACAAACCACAGGAAGCATATTTTTATAAAGGACTATCAGGTGGTTGGGAAACCGAAAGTAGCTTCTTGGCTCAGTAGGAAATATGAATACCCTAGCTCCGAATCGCTCCCTCCTAGCCACTGGATTTTTCATGATGGCTGAATCAGTAATACCTATGAACCATCTACAGTCGGAAGTGGTTTTCCTAACCACGGTTGATACTCTTCGCTGATGGAATGGCCCCAGCATGTATGGCACGTATCCAAATGGCGGATCCACAATAAAATGATGAGATATATGAGTTTCACTCGCAAGATTTGGGTAATGGTTGAAATTGAATGAAATTGAGATATCTGTTTGGACCCACATAAAAGCTGTCATTTGCTTATGTTTTGAAATACCATCCAACTAATTAACACATGTGAATATAGACCCTGAAAATAGCATTTGCTCAGAGGAAAGTAGTCTTCGAAGGCGCAACTGATGGCAGGGTCTATATTTGTTGGGAGGATATGGGAGGATGGCAACCATCCAGGCGGGAGAATAGGGTGTGCTTGGGAAACTCGTACAAGGCGGTGTCTCACTCTGTTGGCGAAGTTAACAAAAACAATTTAAAAAAAAACAACCAGGGTAGATATGGTATATCGAACTATTGTTTCATGGCGTGTTTGTGCCACAAAACTTACATAACTGAGAGGTGCCAGCGAAAAAAACTGTACTTGTAGGATCACCAGTTCGTCCCATGGTACGGATAGACCTTCCAAATGTCCTCGGACCAGGTATCTTGATACAAGGGCCATGATAGCTAAGTTGCTTGATCATTTTGTTTGGGTTTATTGGGAGGGTACGTATAATTCATGGGTGTATAAAGCAACAAACATCACTGGGCCTCAACTTGTAGGGATAAAGGATGGTAAACTACTGGCCCGTGTGGGTTTTGTATGGTTTTGTCCCAACATCTTCAAGACATGGACAATCTTTGGTAGTCCAAGGCCCACTGCCTGCATTTCTGGCATCATGTACGAGATCGCGACCTTCCGAAAATCAGGGTCCATGGAATTGGACCGGGATTTCATGGGATCTCATGGACTTCATGGGGGAACAGGATTCATGTTCCATGGGCCCCATGGGGATCAGTTATAGCAACGGAATGCTGGCGCCACCGGTGACATCAACGGGCTCTTTCCGCCTGCATGGCTAAGTTCGTGCGCGCCCTCCTCGTGATCCTCGTGTTCGTGGCCTTCGTGATGCTCCTGTGCCAAACTGCAAAGAGGTGCCCCGTCAGTTGTCCAGCTAGGAAAACAGAACGATTTTTTCTGGTTGGTGGTGGTTTTAAGGAAAAATATGAAAGTCGATGGGAAAAATTATCCCATATATTATGGAAAAATAAACATCTTTGAAATCGCCAACCAGTTTTGGTCTCCATCCCAATTTTTTACCACTTAAGTTTACGGTAGAAAGCTCCCAACCATATGGCTGCTTTATGGTGCTTTACTACTATGATTTTTGTTTGCACCACCTTGTAGGGCCGTCACTTGAAGAACATGATTATCTTAAAAAATGGGTAAACTACAAGACAATGAAAGGATTTGGCCGTGCTTATAATACCAGGAGCTATATACTAAAAGTTACAAGAAAATCAGAACATTTCGTGGCTATGACTCAGTTTCATGACTGTGTTAACCCTCCAAACTACTATATTATATATATATGTATCAATCGAAAACTTGTTTGCATGATCTGATGTGTTGCTTGTTTATTAGGGACCCAAAACGACAGTCGGGGGGCCGCTTGGTTCGAGACCTGGTTTTCCTACAGCCAATAGCCTCTTGTAAACTAAGAGTTTGCCGTGGAAAATAATTAGCATAGTTCGATGGTTTACCACAAAAGATTGTGATTTTCAATAGTTATGTAAAAGTTTTACCAGAGGGTAATTTCATGTAATTTCAGGGTCGTTTTCATTGCTGAAACGTTGACCCGAGGAGTCTGGATCATCCGGCGAATCTATGCCAAAAGATCGAATGTCTAGCTGGTGGATGGACTAATTTTACCATTCATAGCAAAAATCTAAACGCACCAGTCAGCAACTCACCAAGGTTGACCATAGAATTGTGTTTTTTTCATGGGTTTTTCATAGCTATGTTAAATAGCCATATATATATAGGGTAATATTAAGGTGTATATTACTGTAACATGAAATCTTCACTCAAAATTGTCCAAAGGCCTGTCCTGGTGGTGGTGGTGAAAGAGTTTCTGGCCTTCTCGGGTGTGCCTGACGTCGAGACGTCGAGACGGCAGCGGATGTCCACGGCTCACGGCTCACGCCTAGATTCCTACAGTTAAAACCCAACTTATACCAGCTATAAATGGATGATAAATGGATGATCATTAGATCATTCTACAAATAAATTGGATTCTAAGTGACTTATTTAATGGGGTTATCATGAACATTCATGAACCATAAATAGGATTATAACTGACAACTGGCAAAAGGCCAGCCATAAGTGTAGTCAATAAACATGAAATGTTCATTACTCTTGGCGACATCCAAGTTTGATCCAAAGTTTTTAACGCTTCGAATGGACCATGGAGATGCTTTTATCTTCAGCAAAGATGCACTTGGAATGGTGCTTTATTTTGTGCCTCTTTCAAGAAACCTCAGCATCATCAACTCACATAAAGTTCCATATTTTTTTCAACCAGTAGCATATTCATTCACCAAATCATTTTCAGAAACCAACTCTGCGGTTTCGAAGGCTGTAACACTTCAGGATCATCCCATCATGGCGGTAACCCTGGTGATCACAAGGCCATCCACCCAGTGGCACGATTCCTGGGATGATCGCCGGCGATGCACAAACGCTCAGCTGGTTCAAAAGTGGATGAACCCAGCTGGTTTTTATGCTGACTCTAATTATGTCAGAAAAAGACGGTGTAAACCAACAAAGATAACAAAGCCCACGTGTTGTTTTTTGTTCCCCGCCTGCCAGGTGAGGGTTGTTAGATTTTATCAGAGTTGTTCTCTTGCTCCTCGACTAGCTCTCCTCTTCCTCTTCTCCTCCGCCACCTCGTCCGCCTCCTCCCCCTCCTCTTTCACTTCCACGTCCACTGTTGCCTTGCCAACTCTTCGCCAAGCTCTTCGCCAACGTCCGAGCTCAGTGTGCACCGCTGGACCTCAAACTTCCCAGCTCAGTGTGCACCGCTGGACCTCAACCTGGGACCTTCCCAGCTCAGTGTTGACCGCTGGACCTCAACCTGGGACCTTCCCAGCTCAGTGTGCACCGCTGGACCTCAACCTGGGACATTCCCAGCTCAGTGTGCACCGCTGGACCTCAACCTGGGACCTTCCCAGCTCAGTGTGCACCGCTGGACCTCAACGGCCAGATAGAATGCCAGAAGATATGCCACATAGAACGTCAGATAGCATGTCAGATAGAATGCCTGAAGATATGCCAGATAAAATGCCAGACGATATGCCAGATAGAATGCCAGAAGATATACCAGATAGAATGCCAGATAGAATGCCAGATGGTATGCCAGATAAAGTGCCAGAATGTTTGCCAGATAGAATGCCAGAAGATTTGCCAGATAATGCCAGATAGGATGTCAGAAGATATGCCAGAAGATATGCCAGATAGAATGACAGAAGATATGCCAGAAGATATGCCAGAACATATGCCAGAAAATATGCCAGATAGAATGCCAGAAGGTATGCCAGATAGAATGTCAGAAGGTATGCCAGAATGTTTGCCAGATAGAATGCCAGAAAATTTGCCAGATAAAATGCCAGATAGGATGTCAGAAGATATGCCAGAAGATATGCCAGATAGAATGCCAGATAAAATGCCAGAAAGTATGCCAGAACATATGCCAGAAAATATGCCAGATAGAATGCCAGAAGGTATGCCAGATGGAATGTCAGATAGAATGCCAGAGAGGTATGCCAGAATGTTTGCCAGATAGAATGCCAGAAAATTTGCCAGATAGGATGGCAGAAGATATGCCAGAAGATATGCCAGATAGAATGCCAGATAGAACGCCAGAAGCTATGCCAGATAAAATGCCAGAAGATATGCCAGATAGAATGCCAGGAGGTATGCCAGATAGAATGTCAGATAGAATGCCAAAGGTATGCCAGAATGTTTGCCAAATGGAATGCCAGAAAATTTGCCAGATAGGATGGCAGAAGATATGCCAGAAGATATGCCAGAAGATATGCCAGATAGCATGTCAGATAGAATGCCAGAAGATATGCCAGATAAAATGCCAGAAGATATGCCAGATAGAATGCCAGAAGATATGCCAGAAGATCTGCCAGGTAAAGCGCCAGAATGTTTGCCAGATAGAATGCCAGGAGATTTGCCAGATAGAATGCCAGATAGGATGTCAGAAGGTATGCCAAAAGCAGGTAGAATGCCAGAAAATATGCCAGATAGAGAGCCAGAAGGTATGACAGATAGAATGTCAGATAGAATGCCAGAAGGTATGCCAGAATGTTTGCCAGATAGAATGCCAGAAAAATTGTCAGATAGGATGGCAGAAGATATGCCAGAAGATATGCCAGATAGCATGTCAGATAGAATGCCAGAAGATATGCCAGATAAAATGCCAGAAGATATGCCAGATAGAATGCCAGAAGGTATGCCAGATAGAATGCCAGATGGTATGCTAGATAAAGTGCCAGAATGTTTGCCAGATAGAATGCCAGAAGATTTGCCAGATAGAATGTCAGATAGGATGTCAGAAGATATGCCAGAAGATATGCCAGATAGAATGCCAGAAGATATGCCAGAAGATATGCCAGATAGAATGCCAGAAGGTATGCCAGATAGAATGCCACGTAGAATGCCAGAAGATATGCCAGAACATTTGTCAGAAGATATGCCAGGTAGAATGCCAGAAGATATGCCAGATAGAATGCCAGATGGTATGCTAGATAAAGTGCCAGATTGTTTGCCAAATAGAATGCCAGAAGATTTGCCAAATAGAATGTCAGATAGGATGTCAGAAGGTATGCCAGAAGATATGCCAGATAGAATGCCAGAAGATATGCCAGAAGATATGCCAGATAGAATGCCAGAAGGTATGCCAGATAGAATGCCACGTAGAATGCCAGAAGATATGCCAGGTAGAATGCCAGAAGATATGCCAGATAGAATGCCAGATCGAATGCCAGAAGATATGTCAGATAGAATATGCCAAAAGATATGCCAGATAAAATGCCAGAAGATATGCCAGATCGAATGCCAGAAGATATGTCAGATAGAATGCCGGAAGATTTGCCAGTAACAAAACGTATAAATGTCATGGTGGGGATAACTCGAAGTAACGTAATTGTTTTTTGTGCACCGATGTTCACTGTCGAGTTGCAAGAACTTGATCTTGTCGTGCAGCAAAGTGATCCTTGGCTCAAGCCGTGACTGAAACGTTCTTCCTGGTGGGAATTGTTGCAGTACCAATGATGGCTGATAGTGCTCAAACATGAATGAACGTAAACGTTTTCGTTAAGGATTATAAATGTCCAAAACATTCCAAAAACATTCCAGTGATCATGCATTGACTGTTCTTCCAATTCTAGTGCCACTGGTCCATTTTTCCGTTTCATATCTCCAATTTTGGCAGTCATATCCCCACAACACAATGTTCATAACATCCCAATGACCCCACGATACAGTACTACTCCCTTATTCTGCGCTAAAACATAATCAGGGGGGAATTTCCGGCCTGAGTATAGTGTATCCTTATATCTGGGACCTACTCATGATTCCATCAGAATCAGCTAACATCAACCAATACCACTACCAATATGTCACCACAGGCTCAAGGTCATCCTAAGTGCTACAACAGCCACTTCACCAACATATCACTACAACATAAAGCCTTTCTAAAAACCTCCCATTTCACCATATTTCACCAACCTTCTCCCAGCGTCCGTCCCGGCACACCGAGGGCCAAGGGTCTCTTTCTGATGCACCGCACAGAGCTTGTGAATCAAGGCCTGGAACTCGCCTTCTTCCAAGATCTCCATGGCTCCTATGGCTCCTGGCTACGGTGCTTGGTGCTTGGTGCTTGGTGCTTTTATTTATGGAAATGATTCGGGCTGCAGTTCCAGACGTATAGAACCTATATATTCATATATGTATATAACTATAAGTAGATTCATATATATATATATATAACTATATATGATTATAAGATATTATAAGTAGATGCATATCACTAGATATAACTTATATCAACCATAATTTAAAGGCTTGATAGATTCCAAGTTATGGAGGTGAACTGAGCATAGTTTGTAGCCAATAAGAATCCCAGCTGCAGCCCCAAGTATTAAAGTATAAGCTCCACCTACTATACTAAGTATAGCATGGAGAACTCAACACGCTTTGTGTCAAAATATTGTGTACCCAAAATGTTGATGGCTTATCAATGTATGCCACAACTGCATCATTAAAGCATGGCGATTTTAAGGTATCCGCTTTGCCCTAGACTCCTTAACAACACCCTTCAAAACCTACCTAAATCATCCCAAATCATCTTTTTAGGAGGTGTTCGGAAGTCTGCTGGCTCATCCCAGGACTCGTTTCGTGAGTTATAAGACTGAATTCCGTAGAGTTATTTGTACTCTTAGTCCAGCTGTATATGGCTATCAGTGAGTCAAAACCTTGGCACCCTAGGTACCCTACAATAGCTGAATAATGGATGTTTATCCCAAAATGTGGTAATAATTAATGTGGTTAAAACAATGCCATGTTTACCACCCATGACTGGGAATGGTTGAAATCCCACCCATAAAAATGGTGATGACTGGGGGATGGTGCAGATGGCATTGTTTTAACCACATTGTAGCACTGCAGTTGCGATCTTTTAGAAATCTCCGTGCGACGTCCAACATGTCCAGTTTGTTTGAAATGGGGTACCCGAAAATCCTCTGGTTTATCATTAGTTTCCCTTTATTATCTGGTTGGTGGTTTTAAACATCTTGAAACATAGGAGTTCGCCAATGGGAAGGATTGTCCCATATATTGTGGAAAATAAAAGATGTTTGAAACCACCAACCAGTTATTAATTATTTACCTATGGCATTTTACCCACATTAATAGGTTCTGACCCATCCCCATATCACTAGGGTGAACTGTCCACCCTGCAGAGCCTCTCCTGGTCGTTGTTGGCCGGCCGCGGATCAGCAACGGCACTTGCCGGGAAAACCGGCAAGAAACTAAACAGTTGAAAGCTATATGATGCCATATGTTTATTATTAATTATCACATATATATATAATATATATGTATGATCGGAAACATCATGGTTTCCTGTCGTTGTTCATTCAATTCATTCCACTGATTCCATTGTCCAGCCGAGATATGGGGTTTTTGCACAATCGGAACCCACATAAAAGGAGATGTTAAAGAAAGTACCTGGTTGGTGGTTTCAACCCCTCTGCAAAATATGAAAGTCAGTTGGGATGATTATTCCCAATATATGGAAAAATGAAAAAAAGTAAACATATAGCTATCAATATAAGAAAAAAATGAAATAAATCTGTGTTCCCCCTGCCGGAAATCTCGACCAATTGACCGGCCAGTCTGCTAGATACCTTGTTTAGAGCAGTTCGTGTTTGCCTCTGATGAACTGGAGGTGTTTAATCATTCTGTACTATTTACAGATGTTTCCAAACGATAGCTCCATGAAAACCTACCCTTCACTGACATCACTATTGCAGTTTCGATAGTTCGTGGTGGTGATTGGTGTGCAGCATCTACCGGGTAGCTCGGACCGTGAAATCAGCCGATGGACCAGCATGGAGCTCACAGCTTTCGCTTTGATGATCCAGGAAGCAAATGGTCAGTATGTGGGGTGCAAGTAACCTCAACTCCTTGGAAGTGGCGACTAGTAATACAGTAACCCGCAATATTACAATGCTAAATCTGAATCGAATATGAACGGCAAATGATGAATTGAGCAATAACAATCTAAACTCATACAATATTACAATGGGATTACAATAGTGCAATATTAAAGGTAAATGTTGAGTTCAAAATCCAATTTTTCAAATGTACAGGTTCCAGTGGTTCCAGGCAATCAAACAGGGAAAATAAAAGACAAGCGCACCGCACCAATGTGCATTGAATGTCCAATGCTACCAACTATTTGTAACAATGGCCACTGCTTCCATCTGAAGATTACTTTTTTTTGTGGTGATTGTAGCCTCCATTCATAATTGGATATGAGTTCACAAACTGATGGCTTCATGATCCACTTCCCAAATGGTGACATTCCCATTTTTGGCTGGCACAATTCCATGTTTTTTAGGATGTGCTTTAAGATGGCTAATTAATTACTTCAGTTCCAAAATCACAAAGACGTCTGGAGACACCCTCTGGTAAACTAACAGTTTGCCATGAAAAATCACCATATTTTTGCTAAATCAACGAACTAAATGGGACATGTTTAATAGAAAACTTCAAGAGGCCCCCCACCAGTGGATGTCCTGGACTGGATCCCATCATCCTAGCTATTGATACTGTCAGAAATGGTGATTTGATGTACGCTAGGATGTTCCAGGAATCAAAAAGTGGTCAAAATAACAAAAAACACCATGGGTCAAAACCTTAATTATTATAATATATAGTAACTATAATGTATATATATATATGTATAGTACAACTTATATAATGTAATACGGTGTAATCTCATATGTGGTGGATGAACATTTGTTTACCCGTTTTTTTTGCTGTTCAACAGGATATTGCCGTGTTTTTGCCGTGTTCAGTAGGATGGAATATGATGGAACATGATAGTCCAAGTGGGCGGATGTTTGAAATTGTTGAATGGACAACTGTTTGAAAAGTGGAGATAAATCCGCTATCATACTATGTGAAATATCTATGTTCTATCATATCCCATTTTAGGCGTTTAACATCAATGTAAATAAACAAATGATGTTAAACGCCGTTAAACGCCGAAATAATGGGAGTAAACCACAGAACTGGATCAACTGAAAAGCATGCTTCGCACCTGCGCCTAAGAGATGGTCAATGACAGCGCCCAGCTTGAAGGTGCGCGCCTTCCGGCGTTCCGGCCCGGGCCACGTGGCCATACGTGGCCATAAAATGGCCCCTTCGCGATGTGGGAAACAATGGCCATAGCAGATGGGAAATAGATCTTCTATTTGATTTGGTTTTTGTTGAGGTGCCAAGCCCAAAAATCAATTACTTTACTTCGTGTGATCCCCACCATGATATTTATACATTTTCTTACTGGCAAATCTTCTGGCATTCTATCTGACATATCTTCTGACATTCTATTTGGCATTCTATCTGGCATATCTTCTGGCATATCTATCTGGCATATATTCTATCTGGCATATTCTATCTGGCATATCTATCTGGCACTCTATCTGACATATCTTCTGGCATTCAATCTGGCATCTATCTGGCATATCTTCTGGCATATATTCTGACATATCTTCTGGCATTCTATCTGATATATTTTCTGGCATATATTCTGACATATCTATCTGGCATATCTTCTGGCATTCTATCTGGCATTCTATCTGGCATATCTTCTGGCATATTATCTGGCATTCTATCTGGCATATCTTCTGGCATATATTTCTGGCATTCTATCTGGCAAATCTTCTGGCATTCTATCTGGCATTCTATCTGGCATATCTGGCATATTATCTGGCATTCTATCTGGCATATCTTCTGGCATATCTTCTGGCATATTTTTTGACATTCTTTCTGACATTCTTTCTAACTTTCTTCTGCACATTCTTTGTCCCATATCTTCCTACATGAGGTCCGGCAGGGAACACTTGGCATGGATACCCGCGGTTGAGGTCCGGCAGGGAACACTGGCACGGATGGTCGTGGTTGAGGTCCGGCAGGGAACACTGGGCGTGGATGGTCGTGGTTGAGGTCCGGCAGGGAACACTGGGCGTGGATGGTCGTGGTTGAGGTCCGGCAGGGAACACTGGGCGTGGCTGGTCGTGGTTGAGGTCCGGCAGGGAACACTGGTCGTGGATGGTCGTGGTTGAGGTCCGGCAGCGAACACTGTGGATCGCGGGTCGCAGTTGGACGAGGACGACGAGGACGACGAGGACGACAAGGACGACAAGGAGGACGAGGAGGAGGCAGGAGGCAGGAGGAGAGGAGGACGAGGCAGGAGGAGGCGGAGGAGGAGGAGCAGGAGGAGGAGGAGGCAACTGACATAAAATCTAACAACCCTCACCTGGCAGGTGGGGAAATAGAAGTTGGCCTGTTTTATTGGGGGAATATCTTCTATCTTAGTGTTTTGAAATATAACTATGAAGATCTATGAAGTAGACTGCTACGAACAATGGCAGGCAATATGGGAAAGAAAGGGAAATAAGTAGGATGTCACTCAAGTAGGATAGAACATTCTTGTAGTGTAACTACATCGTTATGTCATAACTCCTGAGGTGGTCAGCAGAAGCCGCCTTGCGCTTTTCCCACGCTTCCTGGCATGGGAAGAAACATTCGGGATTCACCGATGGGTATAGAATATGCAACCAATGAAGAATAATGTTTTAAATCCTATTGAATCCCTGTGGATCCAAGTACCTGGGGTGTGATTTAGGGGGTTAGTCGTACCTGTCGTACCTTCTCAGACAGTGTTTGGATCCATAGGGAATGGTTCCATAACAATATTCAATAGTCCAAAAAATCCAATAGATACCAATATTATGAATACAGTTTTTGGCGTGGGATTTCATGGGCTCGACACTCCTCAAAAAAATATCCCATGGTAAGAATGGCAAGAATGGGGTCCATCTCAAACTCACATGTTGGATCCCAGGAATGGGGCCTACATCAAGATGATTTCCGGGACTGGAAAATTGCCTGAAACGTGGGGTTTCCATGTCAGTTTCTCGCTGTGCTCCAGCGTCACTCGTGGACCTCGGTTTCCATGTCTGAAAATGGAGAGTTCACCCCATTTTCACTGCTGTCTTGATAGGGAACACGATGTTTTTTGGGGTACCGCAGTTTCAGACTATCCGCA